CATGTTTAATGATGTGAAGCTAAAATTAGTATAGATTTTATGTCTTCTACTTTTCCAAATTATGCAAACATTAGTAACCCCTTTTTTAGTGTCCTTATTACACTTCCATCAAAAAAAGGAGGACAGTGGTTGGAGGGGGGCGCTGAGGAAGCCTGGTGATATTTAATTGAATGATTGAATAGTCAAAAGTGTCAGAAGTGATTTTGGCTTTTAACTTTTGTTAAATGCTTACCCTTAGGTTAATGTGAAATTATCCCAACATAAAAAATGATGTATGTCAGTGCATGGGTTTGTCACCCACAGCTACATGGTGAAGCAAATTGCAGATTGGTTCCACATTTAAGTTACCCAAATGCTCTGCTGGCGGGGGAGTAATACGGCCGTGGCACACGTCAGAGAAGTTAAAAGGTTGGCGTTCAGACACAAGTGCACTTTTGAGGAAAAGCAATTTTGAGTGGATTTCTGACTTTAAACGTGTCCAAAGAACACGGCCTTCTTGTTTAGACAGTGGAAATGGCAGAGACAGAAAAAACATGAGCGTTGTTGTGTTATTGGCAGGCTACTTAGGCGGCTAAATGGCCGCAGAGCTGAGCCTGCAAACCTTTGGTATATGGCACCGTCTGTGACCAGAGAGAGGCCTGAAGCATTAGGGTGGGAGGGTGAAGCCAAACACAGAAGACAGCAGCTGGTATTGCATCCAGGTTACTTCGGAACACTCTATGATGGGAAGTGTGGGTTTTGTAAGTCATCACTGATTATGCCCCTCACTGTCCAGTCTCTTCTTGCCACTTACCCACAGATTTCACGGGGCGACACAAGGTGAAGGAGCTGGACTGTACTCGAATGATTCAGCTTGTACTATGCAGCGAGGCTTAACCCAAATTTCAAAAAAGACAAACATTAATTGTCCCCTTTTCTGGTGAGTCAAAGTGAGCCACAAAATTGGGGTTAAACCCTTGAGTGAGGACAACACGTCTACTAAAGGGATCCGCCATCAAGCAGAAATGCTCTTTTGTGAATGAATATGATTAATTAATGTCAGTCACTGAATTGGTTGGATTAGGGAAAGGAATTTGCTAGGAGAAAGGAAACAAAACCAAATTTAGGTCTTTGAGGGATGTTTTCCAGGGTCCAGGGAGAACCACTTAAAAATGTTGTTGAAAGACAGTGAAGTGACTGCACCGCAATGAATGAGCAGGGCACTCGGAAAGCCCAAGGGGTAGAGGTGCATAGGGGCTCCCAGTAGTTGGAATGGGTGAACAGGGGAAAGGAAGAGAAGAGAAGAGGAGAATAAGAGGGTGGAGAGGTAGAGGTAGGAAGGGGAAGGAAAGAGGGGAAGGAAGGAGAGGTGACATAGGGGAAAGAAAAGGGAGTAGATGTGTGAATTTATCAGGGCTCACAAGTTGGGGAGCCCGCTCAGGCCTCAGTGGCCTTGGGCTCCAATAAGCAGGCAGAGAACAAACTCTTCTGTTGCTCTCTGAGCTCACAACAGTGTCTTCCCCTGTCAAAGCACATCCAGCATTACAGATCCAAGAGGCCCATTTCCTAGAATCCACAGCTAGGAACCTCCCAAGGCACAAAGGAGCGGATAGGAGTATCAGTGGGGAGTCAAAGAATCTCAGTATGGCAGGTAGATAAATTCCGGGAATCTGATGTCCAGCGATGCACAGTTAACGACACTGAAGTGTTTAGTTGGGATTTACAAAAAAGGGTAGAGTTCAGATGTTCTCACTACACAGGAAGGAAATGGGTAACTTTGTGAGGTGGTAGGTACGTCAGCTAGCTTGATTGTGAGGATTATTCTTTTATGTTTATACACATCAAATCCCCACATTGTCTACTTTAAATACATATAATTTAACAATGTCAATTAAGGGGCCCTAGGGGTTAAATCTCAGCACTATCACTGCTATGGCTTGAGTTCTATCCCCGGCCAAGGAGCTGACCCACATGGCACAGCAGAACTCTCCTGTCTTGCCTGCTGCTCCCCTCAGCAGTGTATTTCTGTCACCCTACCTGTTCTATTTCCCATTATGTCTCTTGTGAATCCTCTCACACACTGCACCTCTGGCCTATACTCCATTTCTCTCATGCAGAAAAGAAATTGTCAATTACAACTCATTAATGCTGGAAAATATACTATTAAAACTATAAAATGATTCTTTGAAGAGTATGTCTGGAGGGATAAGAAGACTGTAGGGGCATATGATTTCTTAGGATTTGGGGTCATTAAAGTTAGTGTTGTTTTTTTTTAAAATATTTATTTATTTATTCATACAGAACTGGGGTACAGGCCAGAGATGCGGAGGGTGAGAGGATTCACCAGAGACAGAGTGGGGAGCAGAACAGGCAGATCGACGAAGTACACTGCTGAGGGGAGCAGCGGGCGGGTCAGAAGAGGTCTGCCACGCCATGTGGATCTCCTCCGGGGCAGGCGGGATCGAACTCATGCGGAAGTGGCTTAAGCTTCTCAGTGCAGTGCTTTAACCCGCTGCGCCACCAGGGAGGGCCTAGTGTTTTTTTTTTTTTTTTTTTTCTCAGAACATTGTGTTCAGTTCATCTGCTCAAGAGATATTTATTGAGCACCCCCAAAATACCTCATTTAGGGAGTAGACAACTCAAGGGAAGTGTCACCATGTTTGGCCTTAAGGAGTGGGAGTTGGGGGAGCAGGTAGAAAGGGATGCAGAAGTTGGGAATCCCCATAGGTTGTAAGGAAGCAGGGTGGGATTTCTGCCCTTCTGTTGAGTTCAGAAGCCTCTATGGAGGAGTAAAAGTTGTGGGTCCTGAAGGGAGAATGCAGTAACCCAGTGGGAGAAGACTTGGGGTACAGTCTCCCCTTCAATATCCAATAAGAGACTGTGAGTTTGGGGACTGCAAGGTTTCCTATGCCCAGGATCGGGGTGCAAGAGGGACCCCAGAACCACACCTTTGCTACTGACTTTGGAATCCATCCTGCAAGCACCGGGAGGCTGCTAGTTTCTGGCAGGGAAGTGACATTGCCAGATATGAAATCAGAGACACAAAGGACTAGTGGGAGAAACTGGTGGGAAAGACTGATTTGTATATGTTTTCGATGGCAAATTAAAACAAAACTTTCTCAAAGAGGGAGACTTAGAGCCAAGATCTGTTGAACAGGATGACTTCCTTATACATCTCCAAGAAAATGAGGGCTCTGCTTGGAACTTCTGGGCCAATTGAATTGAAGTGTTTTTGTATAGTTAGCTTAAATAACCAAATGATGAAATCAATCCTCCAAATTGTCAGCAGAGCAGCTGTTCAGAAAGCTCTTGTTAGTCATTGACCTTATGTTTAATATGATTTCCTAGAACGCACATAGTCAGATTGAATCAAGTACCACATCAAAGCCCTCCCTGTCCCACAAGCTCCCTGCAATGCCAGGGCCTAGGAAAAGACAGTGGCGGGCAGAGTGCAAAGTCTGCCCTTCCCTCCTGCACCCCAGGAGAGAAGCACAGCACTTCTCAGTGTGCGGTGAGCCTCACCAACTCAGTCTCCTGTCTAATCATAATGCAGGGTAAGGAGGAAAAAGTTAATCGCTTAAAAATTCACTTTCAGCTTTTCAAGTATAACTATAGATTCTTATCCAACATTTTCCCCTTCTCTATATAAGTGGCTTCCAGCCTGACCTTTTACATGACCTGGATTTAGTACTTATATCCCTGGAGGTAGGATAGGATATAATCCAGGATTAGATGGAGGGCTGGGGCTGAGGGAGACTAGAGGAGAGATGTGGAGACTAACTCTTAGATAAGGAACCAAGATCAAGCGAACCAAGATCTTATCCAAGGCCATGTTGCGTTGCATCAGATTGAAGAGGATGTATGTGCTCTCTCTCATCTACTATCTCTATACCTTTCTATCTAGCTGTCATCTCTTTCTACCCATTTATCACATCTACACTATCTAGATAGTATTTGCTTCACTTACTGTAAAAAGCATGCATATGAGAGCTCAAATAAAAATAAAGATGTTCATACATCATATAGTGAGGGGGAAACGATTGTACCAACCATCTGGTAAGAATAGTTATGGCAATTGAATAATTCAGATTAAGCTTCTGGCTCTCCAGGGAAAATAAATAACCTCTGTAAAACCTAAGAGCTGCTATTGTTGATGAAAAGAAGTGTGCTTTTATATAAAAAGGGGACTCTTTCTAATCCAATCCTAATTTTCACTCTTTCATAAAAGAGCGAAAGAAGACTGTCTTGTATAGCAGCAGCATTGCATGACATGCAGAAATGTTCTTCACATGAGGCTTGTTACACATTTTATGTTGTCATAAAGGCAGCAGCCTTTTATAAAAAAAAAAAAAAGCATGCAGAGCACAAACTGCTTCATCCATCAACCATTTGAGTAAAATATTACTAAAAAAAAAAAAGGCCAATTATAAAACAAATACAGATTGCAACTGCACTGTCCAGTCTGAGCATTTATGGTTCATCCAGCTGGTTTTACGGCTCATCCAGCTGGGTTTACACTCGAGGGTCCTACTTATGGCTAACATGGTCACTTCTGAATTAGTATTCTGTCCATTGTAAAACCAGAAATCGAACTAAAATTGCCTTCAGCAGATAAGATAATCTATTGATGTATGAAACTTACAATTCCAAACTCGAGGTTCAAATACCAAGAGACACGGAGGATGGTTGCTCGGGGGCCAAACCCAGCAAGCAGCTATCACAGACAGTTGACGGAGCAAATTTGGGAGGCATGTGGGTGGGTCCGTACTGGCACATCACCACGCTGGAGAAATGACAGGTAGCATTAGCATTAGTGAAGAAAACATCACATGATCTGAGTGGCAGCATGGTATCCTAATTGGGTTAAGGATTAAACTGTACAGTGTGTTTAAACACTTATCCACTCAAAGTCTGAACACTCCACAACGCCTTATCTCAATTTCACCAACCATTGTCCTCAAATAGGATTACCCATAAATCCATGGCATCCATTTGTAAGATATTTCTCTTCTTTTTCACAGGAAGAGCTGAAAAGACGGCGGAATCCTCTGGAACAAGTTAATGATGGAAAATATTTACTTGAAAAGTAAGTAAAAACTAAAAAAAAGGAAATTAAATTATGTGCGAGGTTAAAAATCTTGCATGAAAAAGCCTATCTGACAAGGCAAAAATGAATAAGTAAATCTTATGATATCACTGTGGTCAGGACCCAGAATATGGCTCATCTGAGATATAGTTGGATAGATTCAAGGTCAGTTGAGCTATGATACAAGCTGCCTCATTAACTGAGCAGTGTGGTGCCTACTCCTTGGTGCAGAGTCTGAGGCCTGCATCCACTTCCATGCTGGGCTATTTTAAGTCCTAGATGCAGCACTAAGCACATCTGGGGTCTCAGAGCAGGAGTTACTCTTGTCTTTTCAGCAGTCTTATTCTAGGGTGTTTGCTGATATTACTGGTAGGTGCTTGAGCTCAAGTTTATTCAAGTTTTGTTGGGTTTTAGTCCTGGGTTACGGGGTGGCAAGTGGTTTGAATAGCTCAGCCTGGGCGTCTAGTGGTAATCTCTTCCATAGGAAGACTCTAGCGCAGTGACCTTCCAGGTCTTCTGTGCTCCGTGTCCCACATCTGTGGATCTTTGGCAATGCACACTTCATCCTGGGTGCCTGCTTATGTACCACATGTTCTAGTGACCCTGTGATAGGTCACAGGGGCCCTGGTGTTGGTGTGTGATGTCATTTTGAAGAGGTGTGGAGTTACAATGAGTGGAGTCCTAGGGTTTCCTCTGAGAAAAGTTTCGCCTGAGTTCCCCTTTCAGTAAGAAGACTAAGACATTTAGTCAGAAGACTAAGACATTTGCACAGACACAGGCAGACAACGGTTATATTTGGGAAGGAAAGGTTGATTAGGAAAAGAAGAAAGAAAAAGAGAGGCACCTGCATTGTCACAGGTGGGCAGGAGAGTTGCCTTGCCAGTGCAGACATTGTCTGGATAGAGCATTCTTTTCAGGGGTGACTCCTTCATGGAATGGTTATCTGTTGTTAAATTAATGACATCTAGGGAAGGACTTGATTGGTTTGTAAGGACAGGTGAGTCTCCACCACGGCCCTCAAGCTCCATAGCCCCAGCTCTGGTCTGTGCCCCTGGATATTTTCTGTAACGGTCTGATACTTACTACAGCAGTGGGTGCCTAAAGGCTTTCATTTCTATAACTGGTTTAGCAATTATGTTCATCATTTCTACCTCTACCTCCAGGTTCTCATCAAGTGACACTTCCATCTTAAATTTTCAAGCTAAGCTTCCATCACCTGGGTCAGCCAGTAACCCTAGGGTGCTCTGAGCTGCAGCGGCAGCCACCCCCTCTGAGGGCTGAGTAAGGTGCCTAGTGATACTCTACTGAGTTCAGTCAAGTGTTTCCCATCCCTTTCCTGCGCCCCTAGGGTGTGCTGTGGTCTGATTTCCCCTCAGGAAATTTGGGCTTTGTCTTTGATCATTTTAGTAGTGAGTATTTGGGGGGTGCGGAGTCCTACGCCTTCACGCTGCTGCCATCTTGCTGGCAGAGTCTGAAAGCTTGAAACTCAACCACAATTGGTGACATTTAGAGAAAGTGTTAGAGAAAGTAAGTGATAATAAATCTGAAAAAAAAAAAAAACCCACAAGGGTAACACTGACTAATAGAAAAAAAAAATTTTTAAAACCCTGTAGAATGGAAGAAAAATGAATTTTTAGAAAGGCAAGAAAGAAATGAAATCGAAGAGATAAAAGCAAACTCCACCATTTAGGCTTTTAAAAAATGTGTAATTGAGCACATGAGAGATATATTCTAATTTCAGCTTGTGGATACATACTGAGAGGTTTTATTTGATGTTAACAGGAGATCATGGCTTTAACTTCTAAAAATATTAGCATAATATTAGACTGATTAATAGACCTGCAGTGTCAAGATAAAGACAAAATGAAGACACCAAGTATTTACATTGTACTGTGTCAGTGCATTCTACAGTGGTCACCTCATCAAGTACTGATTAGTTACTTAGCATTGTTATTTTAATATTACAGGTGAGAAAGAGGCTCAGAGGAGGTTCACACTGCTCTAAGTACATTGGG